AATTATGTAGTGAGGAAACGGTAATATGCCCAGGGATGGTTCAACATAAACATCAATTAATGTCATTCACCACATCAAAAACAAAGGAATTACAACTACCATGTGATCATCTCAAGAGATGCAGAGAAAGCATTTGACAAGCTTCAACGTCCATGTATGACTTTAAAATCTCTTTTTAAAAAGGGCCTAGAAGGAACATACCTCAACATAACAAAGGCCAGGCATGACAAACTCGCAGCTAACATCGAAGAGAGTAAGCTGAAAACTTTCTCTCTAAGATCAGGTACAAGACGCGCTTATTTTAACTCTATAGTCAACAAAGTATTGAAGTCCTAGCTAATGCAATTAGGCAAGAGACAGGATTAAAGGAAATCAAATTGGAAAAGAAGTAAAACTATCACTGCTTGATGACTATCAGATGACATGACAATACTCACAGAAAATCCTAAAGACTCCACTAAAAAAGAAACATATTAACAGCTCGGTGAAGTGGCAGGCTACAATGTAAACCAATACACAGAAGTTTGCTGCATGCCTTTATGCAAACAACAGTTGGAAGAGATATCAATAAAGAAAACAATCCCATTTATAATTGCATCAAAAAGAGTAAAGTACCTAGGAATAACTTTAATAAAGGTGGAGAGAGCCCTATCTAACAAAAACCAGAGGACGTTCTTAAAAAAAAAAGAAAAGAAAAGAAAGAAAAAGATGGAAAGCCTTTATTTGCTCACAGATTAAAAGAATCAACATTGTTAAAAGGATCACCTTAAATCAGAGCAATAAACAGACTTAATGTAACCCCTATCAAAACTCATGATCCTTTTCAAGGGATTAGAACAAACATGACTAAAATCTGTATAGCATGAAGAGGTACTATGCGCCCAGTCTTTAATTATTCTAAAAAGCAATAGTAAACAAACCTGTATGCTATTGAAATAAAAGTAGACAAACAAGTTCATGGAATAGAATTGCGATCCCAGGAAAAAACTCACATCAGTGTGGACAGTTAATTCATGACGAGGGAGTTAAGAACATATAACATAGAAAAGAAATTCTATTCAACAATTGCTTTGTGAAAATTGGACAACCACATGCCAACAAAGGAAGTTAAGGTCACACTCAAGCCACACACAGTTAATTCAAAATATATTAAAGACTTGGTATAAGATCAGATGCCATTAAAAAAACATAGATGAGGGCCCTCCCTGGTGGCGCAGC